CTGATACATGAGTTCAATCCCAGGGACCCACATGCTGGAAGAATATCGTGACTCCCATGGTTGTCCCTGACCTCCACACATGTGCACATAATAAATACAATATGTTTTTAAAAATACATAAATGAAAATCTGCTAACCTGCTACCTGGGACAGGTGAGGAAGAAGTTAAGGTGAGATTAGTCCTCAGCTCTCCCATTCCCCATGACAGATGATAATCAGCCTAGACACTGCTCTTATTGGGGACATTAAAAGCCAAAATATAGGAGGGCGAAAGTCAAGGGGAATGGAAGGAATGAAGTGACCTAAGGCCACACATTTCCAAGACGGGCACTGCTTCATGGCCAACACTGAAAGGTGTGTCTGTGGGCTGCTTGGGAGGTCTCCCACAATCTGTGCTATCAGGGGGCAAAATGCTTACAGTATTTCATGGGGATGGAGAAGAGGAGAATTGCTACCTTCCTCTCTCCTTCCTTCCTTCCTTCCCCTGAAGTTCTTCCCATGAATAGTAATTTCCTCACATGGTTTGATTTTGGTGGCCCCCATGGATTGCCAGATGCCCTGTCCAAATGTGGGGGATTCCATAGAAGACTTGGGAAGAGAAACCCTGGGTGTCTGAGTAGTGAAGGCTTTTTCTCAAAAGCAAAACCAAAGGCTATCAAGATAATTCATGAGAGAAAGGTGCTTGCTGCCAAGCCTGACAGCCTGAGTTCAATCCCAGGGACCCACATGCTGGAACATATCGGTGACTTCCACGGTTGTCCCTGACCTCCACACATGTTCACATTATAAATATAATACTTTTAGAAAAAATACATAAATGAAAATCTGCAACCTGGTACCTGGGCCAGGTAAGGGAAGAAGTTATGGTGAGATTTTTCCTGAGCCCTCCCATTCTCCAAGCCATCTGATAAACAGTCTACACACTGCTTTTAGTGCGAACATTCAAAGCCAAGGTATAGGAGGGAGAAAGTCAAGGGGAATGGAAGGAATGAAGTGACCTAAGACTGCACATTTGCATGATCTGCACTGCTTCATGACCAATAATGAAGGGTGTGTCTGCGGTCTGCTTGGGAGACACAATCTGTGCTATCAGGGGGGCAAGGTGGGCGTAATGCCTTCCAACAATTCCTGGTGTGAGAGGAGAGGAGAATTGCTACCTTTCTCTCTTCTACCTCCCCTCCACTGAAGTTCTCCCCATGAATATTAATCTCCTCATAATGGTTGACTTTGGTGGCCCTATGGAATGCTAGGTACTAAGTGGGGCATCCCATAGAAAACTTGGGAAGAGAAACTCTGGGTGTCTGGGTGGTGAAGGCTTTTTCTCAAAAGCAAAAATCAAACAAAGGCCATCATGATGGTTCATGAAAGAAAGGTTCTTGCTCCAAACCTGACAACCTGAGTTCAATCCCAGGGACCCAATGCTGGAAGAATATTGGTGACTCCCACGGTTGTCCCTGACCTCCACACATGTGCACATAATAAATATAATACTTTTTCAAAAAAATACATAAATGAAAATCTGCAACCTGGTACCTGGGCCTGGTAAGGAAAAAGCTATGGTAAAATTGGTCCTCAGCCCTCCCATTCCATCTGATAAACAGCCTACGCACGGCTTTTAGTGGGGACATTCAAAGCCATGGTATAGGAGGGAGAAGGTCAAAGGGGAATGGAAGCAATGAAGTGACCTAAGAACACACATTTGCATGATGTGCACTGCTTCATGACCAACACTGAGGGTGTGTCTGGGGGCTGCTTGGGAGGTCTCCCACAATCTGTGCTATCAGGAGGCAAAAGTGCCTTAAACAATTCATGGGGATAGAGGAGAGGAGAATTGCTACCTGCTTCTCCCCTACCTCCCCTCCACTGAAGTTCTCCCCATGAATATTAATCTCCTCACATGGTTTGATTTTGGTGGCCCCATGGAATGTCAGATGCCGTGTACTAAGCATGGCATCCCATAGAAGACCTGGGAAGAGAAACTCTGGGTGTCTGAGTGGTGAAGGCTTTTTCTCAAAAGCAAAACCAAACAAAGGCCATCAAGATAATTCATGAGAGAAAGGAGCTTGCTCTAAACCTGATACATGAGTTCAATCCCAGGGACCCAATGCTGGAAGAATATCGTGACTCCCATGGTTGTCCCTGACCTCCACACATGTGCACATAATAAATATAATATGTTTTTAAAAATACATAAATGAAAATCTGCAACCTGGTACCTGGGACAGGTAAGGGAAGAAGTTATGGTGAGATTAGTCCTGAGCTCACCCATTCCCCAAGCCATCTGATAAACAGCCTACACACTGCTTTTAGTGGGGACATTCAAAGCCAAGATATAGGAGGGAGAAGGTCAAAGGGGAATGGAAGCAATGAAGTGACCTAAGAACACACATTTGCATGATGGGCACTGCTTCATGACCAACACTGAAGGTGTGTCTGCTTGCTGGTTGGGGGGTCTCCCACAGACTGTTCTATCAGGGGGCAAACATGC